TGTGGTTCTTGAACGAGCAATTCCTGTCAACTGTTCCAAGTGGTGGAACAGATCATTTTCGAACTCTCGACCTTGATCGTGGTGGATTCGTTGAGGGAAACCAAATCGGAGTATAAAGTCATTAAATATTTTGTCAGCAACAGTTTTCGCAGATTTGTTCGTGGTAGGGTAAGCTTGGGCATAACGGGTAAAATGATCCACAACAACTAAAAGATATTCATACCCCCCTGTACTTCTTTCTAAGTGAACAAAATCAATTGATATAAGCTCAAACGGTTGACTTGTGACTATGCTTTGAGCAGAGGCACGTGGTGGTAGTGATGGCTTTTTCCGTTGTAAGCATCTACAAACTTTGGTTACGTAATGTTCGATGTCTCTCGTCATGTGCGGCCAATAGAAACGATCTCGTGCTAGCTCTGTCAACCTTTCAGCACCCAAGTGTCCCATCTCATCATGAAGATGGCGGAGTACCAAAGAATGGTATCTTTTTGGCAAAACCAACTGCACCTTGTTGGCTGTCTTTCGGTACAAGGCTCTGTCTTTTCCCAGTATCAGCTTGTTCCATTCATGCATTAGTGTTTTTACCTCAGCTGATTCACCATGTCGATCTTGAAACGAAGGCCTAACTGGCTGTTCTTTATAAGCTAAGACACGGGCAACATCAGGGTCCTCCTTCTGCGCTTGTAAGATGTTCTGCAGAGGCAGGGGAGTGTGTTTTTCCATTTTGTTTACATCTAATAGTTGGGTTGTATTTTGGTTAAGTGAAACTGCATGGATCCAATACACATTACCTTGATGCCTGGTGGTAACTGCACTGAGAGTTGCTGCAAAATCCATCTGTGATGTTTCTTGTGTGCATTCTTCCATGAACTTCTCAATGTTTGTTGGCATTCTTGAAAAGAAGTCTGCATCAACATTCGCTTTACCCGGTCGGTACTTGATGGTGAATTCAAAATCTGCCAATGAAGCTATCCATCTATACCCTGTAGAATTTAACTTTGCTGTACTCATAACATATGTTAAAGGGTTGTTATCAGTATATATTGTGAATTTTGGAGCGTAAAACAAGTAGTCGCGGAACTGTTCAGTTACAGCCCACTTTAATGCTAGGAACTTCAGTTTCCCGGAATGTAAATGGTACTTTCTTTCAGCTGGAGATCTGGCTATCACTCTCATTTTCCCCTGCTGTTTTTGGTACAAGACTGCACCAAGTCCCTCTTGTGATGCGTCTGTATGAAGTACAAATGGGATGCTGAAATCTGGATAGGCCATGATAGGAGGGTTGGTAAGACAGCTTATAAGATAACTGAGAGCTTTTTGATGCGGCTCTAGCCAGACAATTGGCGCACGCGATGATGCTTGGCCTCCTTTCCCGCGTGTGTCTTTTTTCTTTACTTTGGAAGTGCATGGCTGTTCCACCTTGAGTAAGTCATAAATGGGTTTTGCTACTCTGGAAAAGTTTTCTATATATCGACGGTAGTAACCCAGTAGACCTGTCAAATGACGAACTTCACCAATAGTCTTTGGTGTGTAGTCACGTAACTTGAGAATTGCTTTTGTGCTGTCTGGATCTATGCGATAACCATCTTCAGACACGATTCGACCTAAATATACAACTTCTTTCTTAAACATGTCACATTTTTCAGCTTTCAGCTTGATACCATTTTCTTTCAATCGTCGTAGAACCTTTCTTACATGCTCCACGTGCTCGTTGAATGACTTTGAGTATACAATGACGTCATCAAAATATGGTGCACAACATTCGTCTCTAAACTCCCCTAAACAGCTCTCCATATAACGTTGAAATTCTGCTGGAGCATTTTTGAGGCCCATGGGAAGTTTTATCCATTCATAGAGAACCCAGAGTGTCACAAAAGCCGTTAAATGGCGACTTTCTGGGTCCATAAAGCCTTGATGATATGCTTTCCCTTGATCTATAGTGGAGAACCATTTGTTTCCGGATAAACTGTCCAACGTGTCCTGAATTCTGGGTATTGGATGACGGTCTGCTGTTGTTTTATCATTTAGTTCTCTGTAGTCAATACAGAGCCTCATTGAGCCATCTTTTTTTCGGACAATCACACAACAGCTACTATATGGCGATTTTGATTTCTGGATCAACTTGCGATTCAGGAGATCCTCGATGTATCTCTTGAGTTCAGGGTACAAGGGTCTTGGGACAGCAATGTAATGTTTCTGCACCGGTGTTGTATCAGATAGTATGATCTTATGTTTGAGGCCCTCTGCGCAACCTACATCTTGGCTACTTGTGCAAAAGGCATCACGTTCTTCATAAAGCATCTGCTGTACACTCCGTTTTTGCTCTTCACTCAAATGATTTCCTAAAGTAACTTTTGGTATCACGTCCGTTGCTAGCTTCTCATCAGCCTCTAACTGTCTTTGACTGGTCCTGTATTCTTTGTAGACTTGAGTTCTTTTGGATTTCCGTCTTTATCCATTTCATTGTGATCTTTGAACTTCAACTCAACTGGTGTAACTGACCTAACAGGTTGCAGAAAACCCATTTCTGTACGTCCTTTCAAAGTGATGTCATGTGCACTAGTGTTAATGACATAAATTCCCACCTTGTCGCAATTTTCCCTTTTCAAAGTGAGCAAAGACTCGTGTACTTCCAAACCAGAGGGGAAGCTTAACTCGTTATCGGGCTCAAACAGCATAGGTGTTGGTCGGCTAATTAATCCAACTTTGCTGCGACATGAAATCTTTACTGTACTGCCCTTTGGAACAATAATGCTTTTCTTGCCTGTTCTAACAGTGGAAAATATTGGTGTTGACTTGCTGTCAACAAAACTCACAAAAGCATTTAAATCTGATTGTGACGTCTGAAAGAAACTTGCTGATAGCAGCGAGATAAGGTTAGTCTCATCTGGGACTTGTTGTTGACTTTTGATAAGTTCTTCGATTACATTGTACCCAATAATTGGCTGCTCAAGTTCGAATTCAGTTACTAGCATTGGTACTTCTACTGCATCTACATTTGAATTCAGAAGCTTGAAATTCATCTTAACCCACCCACTGTATGGCAATTTTGAACCATTGGCTGTTGATAGTTCTAACTCAATGTCCTGATCAAGGAGATCTGCGATATCTTTTATCTCTGACTGTGGAAAATGTTTTCTAAGCTCTTTTGAACTCACGATTGATACTTGTGCACCCGTGTCAAAAAGTACGGGTAACTCGATACCATTCATACTGCACTTGATCAAACATTTTCTACCCACTAGTTTCGACAGTTTTTCTTGTCCTTGAGGTGTGAGATGGCTAACAAAGACTCTATGATCCTCGCTGTCACCACTTCCATGCTCAACCCTTTCAAACTTATCGGAGAGTTCCTGAATCGCTAGACAAATCTGTTTATGATTAGCCCAGTCTTTTATTTGACATGCCTTACTACAATATTTTGATGTTTCACATGCAGCACAAATGAAAATATTTTTGTGTAGTTGTTTGCAGCTTATACAATGGTGGGACTCTACATCATTTGCCTTGGCTACTGGCTGTCCCGTGACAGCAGCCGGGGGCAGTTTTCCTGCCACGGTCCATTTCTTTGAGGGCAGTTGTAGGCAAAATGAGCACTATTCCCGCATTTCCAGCAATTAGTACACTTATCTCCAAGGCCTTTTTTGAAACATTCCTTGCATCCCCGACGGTTTTCACGAGGGGGTCTTCCTCTCCCTTGAGATAATATTCTATTATCCTCCCCAGGGGACTGAGCACGACTGCGGCTAACATCTTGTTTTAGAGAGGCCACTTCTGCTTTTATCGCTTGGATTTCGGACAGCAATTTTTGAGCTAGTGGTGTTTCCGCTTCTTTGTCCTTTTTGGGGCTCTCAGCTTTTCCCTTTGTGTTTTGTTCCAAAGAGACTTGTGCAACTTTTGCTTTTCCCTTCTGGCCTATTCCTAATTTGGCATTTCTTTCTGATTCTTCTGCACCAGCGAGGTTTAATTGTTGAATCAATTCAGCATCTGTAACATCTGGGCGTTGTAGGTGTGGTCTCATCCTCGTTCTGAAAGTATTGCTAAGAAGTCTGGTCTCGATTGCATGCAGAAACATGGACTGACACTGACTTGTATCATATTTTAATTTGCTCCCCTCCTGCTTTGATGCAAAAATTATCTTTTCCCGCAAATTTAGGGCACGTAGTAGAAAATTTTGAGGATCTTCCGTTGGTGACTGGGCCAAATTTGCGAGGCTAGCATATAGTTCACTAGCATTTTTCTTTTGATAGTGGGCGCGAATAATTTTAATTAGAGTTTCCAACCCCATTTCTCGCATCGCCTCTAAATAATCTTTGAGGGGTATTCCCGGCAGAATGCATTTTATGAGCCCGTCAACCAATTCCTTTTCGGAATAACCGCGCTCTTTGCCACTTTCCACTTGTCTACTGGGGCTCAAATAGGACAACTGTTCTTTTTGCCCCTGGGCCCCCACTGTCCCGACAATTCTGAATTCCCTTTTTAGAATTGCTTGCAAGCCCCTGTAATTTGTTTCAGATGTCGCCTGTCCATTCAAATCATTATCTATATGAACGTCGCCCCCTGTCCTCATTTTGACAGCACTCAATTTATCAGTCAACGCTTCCATCTCTTTTTGTTGTTTTTCCTTTAACAGTGTTACTTCCTTCTCTAAATCCTGTCTAACGGAAGCCAGTGTCTGTTGCTTATCTCCCCCGCTCGCAATTGCGCTCCTTTCCTCAGTAATTTGTTTCAGAATATCCTTGAGAAATGCTGCCTTTTCTGTTTCTTTGCATTTCTCCGTTAGGCCTAGGTTAAACGTCGCTCTTCTCATGTGCCTAACCCAATACAGGTAGA